TTGGTTACATCCCTCAGGTTCGATTCCATTGCGGCATTACCAGCTTTCACATATTTCTTTACCGTTTCTGCCCTGTAGCGCCTTGTGCTCCTGCTCCGTGCTTTCATGGCGCTGCTTTTACCTCTTCTTTTTCCCTCTCCCTTCTTAGCTCTATCACTTATGCGGTCCTAAAATTTACAAGACCCAGTAACTTTGATCCTCCAAAGCTGCTGTCTTTTGTGCCGTGGATTTGGTTTTCTGGAACGCTCACCAACCGTTCGGTGTCATTTGCAAGTGGGAATGATTCTAACTCAGCCTCTTGTTTCACCTGATGGGATGTATGTTATCCACTGTTACCCATTTCCTTTACACTTTTGTATCACTTTTGTTCCATTCATCAGTTATTCCTTGATTCTGTCCTACATTGTTCAGAGGTGGTTTAGCCTTTGTTAAACCACTTTTGTTCATGGGGTTGGTCATTTTCATTCTGACTCTTGTTTTCATGTTTCAGAATGTCAAAGAAGGATTCTTGTGTGTTGACATTGGTATCTACTGTTTCTGGAGGCTAAAATAAATGGCAGTAGAAACTATTGTCTCGCTTTTGCACCATTGTGCCAAAATCAAGGCATTTCGGTACGGTTTTTCTCTCCATGGAGCTGTAGTAAAGACAGGCATAGAATATGATGTTTATGTCTCCAACCATGTCCTAAACATGTATGCCAAGTGCGGCAAGATAAACTTTGCTCGTCAAGTATTTGATGAAATGCCTGAAAAGAATGTTGTCTCTTGGTCAGCCATGATCTCTGGTTATGACCAGGGTGGGGAGCCACTGTTGGCACTTGATTTGTTTTCCCAAATGCATCTTGTGTTCAATGGGCAAAGTTTTGCAAGTGCCATACGTGCCTGTGGGAGCCTTATGGCTTTGGTGACAGGACAGCAAATTCATGCTCGATCATTGAAGTATGGATATGCATGCCTCTCATTTGTCTCTAACTCTCTCGTTTCAATGTACATGAAATGTGGTTATTGTAGTGACGCCTTATTGGTTTTTGCTGGTTCATCAGGAGCAGATCCTGTTGCTTATAATGCTCTCATCACTGGGTTTATAGAAAACCAGCAGCCTGAAAGGGGCTTTAAAGTGTTTAAGCTTATGCAACGACAAGGCCTTGTGCCAGATCATTTTACTTTTGCAGGATTGTTGACAAGTTGTGCTGAATCAGAAAATTTACATAGAGCAATGGTCTTGCATTGCCAGACTATCAAACTTAAACTTGACTCCACCCCTTTTATTGGTAATTTGATGATAAAAATGTACTCAAAGTTCAATCTGATACAAGAAGCAGAGAAAATATTCAGACAGATCGAGGAAAAGGATGTCTTTTCATGGAACACTTTTATAGCTGCTTGTTCTCATTGTGAAGATTATGAAATGAGTTTGAGAACTTTTGGGGAGATGTTGAATGAGCACAGTGTTAGACCTGATGACTTCACCTTTGCCAGTGTCTTTTCTGCCTGTGCTGGATTTGCTTCAATACATTCTGGCAAGGAGATTCATGCTCACCTAATCAAAACAAGGCTGAATCAAGATGTGGGTGTTGGTAATGCCCTCATTAACATGTATGTTAAATGTGGTTCTATTAAATATGCAAACAGTGTTTTCAACAAGATGATCCATCTCAATCTTGTCTCATGGAACACCATCATATTTGGATTTGGAGATCACGGGCTTGGAAGCAGAGCCTTTGAACTTTTTGAGCGGATGAAGGCAATAGGATTAAAGCCAGATTCTGTTACGTTTCTTGGACTTTTGATGGCTTGCAATCATGCAGGTCTTGTAGACAAGTGCCTGGGTTTGTTCAATTCTATGAAAGAAACTTATGGAATTGCTCCTAATATAGAACATTTGAAATGTCTTATTGATTTGTTGGGACGAGCTGGGAGATTAACTGAAGCAAAAGAATACATGAAGAAATTTCCTTTTGGACAAGATCCAGTAGTTTTAAGGAGCCTGCATTCTGCATGCCAACTGTAAAGGGATACAATGGCTGGGGAGGGATTAGGTAAATAGATTTTGAAACTTCACAAGTGGCAGCTTCACCTTATGTTCTGTTTTCAAACTTGTTTGGTCAGATGAGGTGTGGAATTCAGTCGCAGAAGCAAGGAAGATGTTGAAGGGCAGTAATGGATTGAAGAAGGTACCCAGCTGGAGTCTGGTTGAAGTGAAGGGGAGTTTTGAAAAATTCACAGTAGGGGATTTTTCTCATGCAAGGATTGAAGAGATGAAGGACATACTCAAAATTACAACCTCAGATGTAGGTGTTGTTTATATAATATCTTCTAACTGACTAGTGACTACCCCCTTTGAAGTTCCCTTCACCTCATTACCCCCTTTAATTTCCATTTTTGCCTGACTGTCTGAAGAATTGTTGCGAAAGAAACACAGCGGAAGTTGAGCAGCCTAATTGACGCAGATAGGAAGGAACTGTTATATTACCTTGGATTCTACTATATATGTTTACGAGTGTTTAGGAATTAATTTGAGATACAATGTGATCTACCGTAGTAGTTTTAATATTTATATTTATTAGGATTTGATTTTTTTATTTACATAGGATTTGATATCTTTTAATAAAGATTTCTATTAGGATTTCTAGCTTTTCTATAGCTTAGTTTATATTAGATTTCTTCAGGGTTGAATATCAATTAAGTCTTCTAAAAATCCCCAATTTCTGCTATTCTCTTCTCACCCTTGCCTCTATTCCTCCTTATATCTCAAAAACCCTTTCTTTGGTCTAAATCACTGATATACTTGGTTGGCACAAAAAGATATTGTGCTAACCACCTGCCACCAGTCACCATGAAAGAACAGTTGCAATTGAAAACCCTTCATCCTATACGGATGATTAGATGGTTGGTCTTTGGCATTGACTGTGCGGAGATCTCTTACTAACAGGAACAATGACTAATAAGGAGGAGGTTTTGAAGGGAGATGAAATCATTGAAATATGGCACGAGTTTCTTAATTTGGCTCTCCTGAATTTAATCATTTCTTTGCAAATTTCTGCCTATCAGGTTTCCTAATAATTTTTCTTTGCATAAGCTTTATATTCTTTGTAAAACAAATTGCTTTTATTTTGACCAATAATAATTTGAATATTTGTTTGACAGAGTATAATTAAGCACTTAAGCACTTTTACCAACAACCTGTTGGTCCGAGTGGAAGGAGTTCGGTTCCCCTTAAGCAAGATCTCGAGTTCGAGTTTTGTGAATGGAAAAACAGGTGCTGGGAGAGCTTCCTCTCATATGGAGTCCGACCTGGTTCGATTCTGGATTAGTCAGGGCCCAATGTGGTTTCTGGACACCGGAAGGTTAGTACAAAAAAAAAAGAGCACTTTTTGCTCTCCATTTTGAAAATTTTTTGGAGGAAAAAAGATTTCTTTTGAGCATGTAAGGTGCTTATAAGCAAGTTTTGAAGAAAGCAAATGACGCATTTAAAATCTAGCATATAAGCACTTTAAATGCTGCAAAATAGCGTTTCTCTCCAAGACTTTTTTTAAACTTGTAAGAAAAAAACGTTCTGAAGAACAAGCTCAGCCAAATGGATTACTGTTTGCTAACATTTTTCTCATTAATTGCTTATGAATTCTATCTTGGTATGTATCCATTTTATATTATGTTTTCTTTCATTAGTTTCCTGCTTGTGATTGCTTAGTAAAATGAAAATCATCTTGAAAAAAGTAAGGATATATCTTGATTAATTCATGGGACATGAACCGTCCCCCTCAGTTTTATTAGAAATTTTATATCTAAAATCATCATCTTAAGGGAGCTACTTCAAAGATGGTCACAACCATTGGGAGCATCAGATAGCATTACAGTTTTGAAGGCTTGCTTTTTTATAATGCATTTAAGTGATCTCATGAAATTAGTCTCTTGTTGCTTCAATTCTTCAATTGTTCCATTCAAGAAGTTCATTCATAATTTCAGTTCCCTAAATTTTCAATGGGATGGCTAGTATTCTCTCGAATCTTGGTGTTTTTCACAAAGAAATTAGTCTCTGTGGTTTATTATTTTTAAGTTTGTTATTAATAATCCTTTTCAGGTTCAATGACTGGAGTAATCCTCAGTGCTCGCCCATCAAAGCAGAAAGTCTACCACAAGCAGATATATACCAAGCTAAAGCAGGGAGAAACTTAAAAGAAATTAATGTAAATATATGTGTCTAGAATCCTAGGTAAATGCTCCTCCTTGAGAAAAAAAATTCATGCATTATTACAGAAGGTGTTCTGATAATACTCCACATTGCTCCCATTTCAGCTTATAACGCTGGCAAAACTGACCATGCTGAGATTTGTATTTGTTTTGAAACTGATTTTATTCTTGTAGGGTTGGGCAACTAACGTTGGTGATGGAAAGGTTCCTTTCTAAAACAGACTCAGAGATGCTCTCCTTGGAAGAGGTACATATGATGCTACTCCTGTATCAAATATTCTTCTAGATGCAACAATGTACAACAGGGAATTTTTCTTCTAAAGAAATTGAGCGTTATGTGACTTTGTATCATTAGGATATTATGTTGCTCCCTGGTGAGTCATCGTAGCTAGAATATTTTTTTATATCAAATAATGTCTTTTCGCACTTTCTTTACTTACGTATTGCTGGTGAAGTGGTGATTGAAAGAAATATATTGTCCATGGAGAAAAAGAAAAATACCAAAAGGTCTAATAATTAAAGTGTATTAAAGTGAACAACAAAACGGGAATGATTGTAGGCCGAATATTATTAAAGATTTCATCACAGTTCATTGGTAATTTCCTTCTGTAGAAGTAAGCTTTGATGCATCCTAAACTCTTAAATTCTCAAACATATTATTAAGAATTTCATGTTCCAGTCCAGAAATGTTTTAAATGTCTGTGCTTTCCTTTCTCACACCCATGAACAACAAAGCTTTGATGCATCCTAGTTCTTAATTCTCAAACATATTTTTAAGAATTTTATGCACCAGAAATGTCTCAAATGTCTGTGCTTTCCTTTCTCTCACCTGATTCAGGGCACATATTGACGTTTTACGCCTTCTATATTTGTGGCTTAAATCATCTTTTTATTGGAACAATTTCCCACCTATTGCTATAATTAGTGCTGGTATGCATTGTAGCATGTTTGATGGCAATTGCACCCTAATTCGATGATAATATTAACTTATGTTGAAGAGACAAACATACGTATTTGAAAAGTTGATACTTATAGTCAATGAGAGCTGTTTTATTTTCTTAGCATAAACTAGGAAGTCTAGCCTTATTCTATTAGGTAGGAAAAAAAAAGAAAAAAAAAAGAAAAAAAAGGGCACACACACACACACACATATTGTCAGGCACAGAAAATCTGGAAACGATGACTCTTTGGGCTAGATAACCACTGTAGATGTTATACATTTTGCAAATGTGACCCTACTTTGCATTCAAATTAAGAGAATTTTTACAATACGATATTAGTGGAAATGATTATTGGCCTTCCCCTAGTAAAATAGTGATATCCTTGTGTCTACATCACTAAAATACCTCAATTAATGCGCCGGTAGCTTCGGCTTATATTCTATCTTTTGTGAATAGCTTGAGTTGTAACTGGAATTTTTCAATAAGATAAATCATCCTTAAAACCAGACTTGGTAACTTTTCCATTGATAAAAAGTTCAACAGTGCATTGGCATCGGTTTTGATCTGCTGAAGGCTGGGATTAATTACAGGGGTGGATGATTCAGGTTTCAGATTCAATCCAATTGGATTCAGAGCCTGACTGACCAAGGGTCAGAATGGAGGTGATTAATTTGGGCTGGATTGTTCTCAAGATATATTGATTTTTTCATTTTTCTCACCAGTACATTAACCCAAACAAAATGAGTCAGACTTTCTGACCCAAAATAAGTTGTGTCTAGAGTTTGATTCTTTGGTTCATTTCTTTGCAGCCAAATATTAAATTTATGAGCTAACAGGTATCTGCATTCTGAAAATCCAAAGTTGCGTTATGTGCATCCTATATGTTATTATTGAACTCTTATGGACACTAAAAGGTATTTTACATCTTTAATTTGTTCTTCTAATATTTTGTTTCCAAAAGCTAGCCAGCTTGTTTGTGTTTTTTCATTTTTCATTTTTCATTCTGAAGATGTTCCAAAAATGATTAACAGAACTATATTTGGTGGAACCTAATCAGATTTTGGCCCATTCTGCTGCTGTTTCTATATATCGAAGCAAGTACAAGGTACACCATTCTACTTCTTTTAAAACTAGTAATATGTTGTGAAGATATGCCGACCAAAAAGGAAAATGATATATTATACATTAAAAAGAGGAATGAATCCGATTCTTTATATCAAAACTTTGTTATTCTTACAAAGCCCTGCTTTTTAGAAAAGGAGAAAAACTTCCGAGGATCCTCCCTGAACTGAAGTTCCCAAAATTCATAGCAAGTGAGAAAACCTAAGCCAAAGTCTCACATGCTATTGCTGAACTTCAGTTGGACCCTTAATAAATTGTAAAATATGCATCTATAACTGCAAAGTGAGAGAGCTAAAAACCAAAAAAGAAAAAGAAAAAAAGGAAAGCCTATTTTCCCCAGTTAAATTAGTTAATCCAAAAGGAAGAGAGGAAATGGGAAAATCATAAAATATAGATCATATTGTATACATGTTCCCTTCTCTCTTTTTCTAGCTACTATAGATCCATCCCCTAATCTTCCTTCTCCTCTTTCCATTGATTTATGTATCATTCCACACCGTAAAAGTTGAAGCTCCATGGCCTACAGCCATGGTGCTGGACCTTTGTGCAATGGCAGGAACTGCAGTTGGCACCCAGTTGTTGCACGTTGAGGCCTGATCGTATGTGCTTGCAGCTTTCACAGCATTTGATGATTGATGATGAGAAAGGTAGTACAAGTTCCTCTGATGACTATTGTAAGGATCTCCTGATCCAAACATGTTCACTTCAGCACCATCTCCAAAGCCATTCCCTTGATTTTGGTTCCCATCATTGCTGGCTATAACTGTCCCCAAAGGAAACACATATCCAGCATTGTTGCTTCCATAATAACCACCATTGGCAGCAGTGCCATTACTTCCACCACCTTCACCACTATTCCCTCCATTGCTGTAGATGACAGAATTAGAACCGGAGCTGTGCTCCATGGAAGAGGAGTCCAAGCTCATGAGGTTGTGCAGGACAGAAGGCTGGAAAAAATTGTGGGTGCTTCCCAATTGCAGCTGGTGATGAAGATCTTGGAAGCTACTGTTGCTGGTGTCTGAATCTTGTTCTTGTTTGCACCAGAGTCTTTGCCCGTAGGGGAACTGCATGCTGAAAGGCTGAGGCTGTTGGTGGAAAGCAATGGCAGGCCAGCCGTGGTGGGCTGCTGCAGCACCATAGCTGCTGATCCCATCTGCAGTTATCTGTGAACTGATGTTACCGTCATCAGCTCTCTGTCCTTCCACCACCATTTCTGCTTGCTCAACATCTTTCAACCGCTTTGCTGCTCCTCCAATAGGCAATGTGCTACTCTCAAGTATGCTCTTCACATCATATCTGTTCATATCAAAGTTGGTGACTGCATTCAGTCCTCGGAATTTTATGGCTGCAATGTCATAGGCTTCTGCTGCCTCCTCTTGGGTACCTATATAGACACAATTCATGAAAATTAAATATTGAAGATTAAGAGTTCTTTTTGTTTATATATGGTAATTTAAAAGAAAAACTTACTGAATGTTCCTAAGTAAAGGTCTTTATTTCCTGCGACTCTTCCGATCCTTGCTTGCCATCTTCCATGCTGGTGATGTCTGTTATCAACAAAAATACAGCATCATGCATCAACATATTTATAGGAGATTCAATTCCTCGAAAATCAGAAACGTTCTTAAAAGTTAACTTAATTTGTTTGGTCCAGTTTCAGCATCTGCAGTAGAGAAATTGTTCTGGTCAAACTAAGATGTTTATGCTTTTTCTATATAATACCTTGTGACTCCCCTGTAGATCGAGGCACCTCGGGAAAATCCACTGCTCTTCCTGCGTCATTAAGGAAATATATCATTCTGAGTTTGGTGTTACATACATGCATTTGTTTGTTTTCTTTTCAATTTATTTGATTGGACGAATTTATGAATGAACATTTTCCAGTACCTTCGCAAAGACGCAACGTACTCTTGCCTGGTCATGTGCTTCATTTCATCTAATTCCTTTTCATAGTTGCTAATCTGCAATTAGAATTTTAAAAGATTAAAATAAACCAATTAGTGGAAGCATTTCCATGCAGTTATTGAACAAAACCCATATACTTCGGCAAATTTTAATGTAAAAAACTCTTTATTTCTCCTCTCACATGACAAATTCCTATTAATGAGGATACCTTTTAGGAGCACAAGAACAGATATAATGGGCAGTCTAATTAATATAAAATAGAGAGTCCTAAGTTCTAAGACTTTACCCCATTATGTTTGGCTAAAGCAACTGCATGCTAATGGCAGTGACAACATGGAGCAAATGCAGAGGAATTCACTTTCCCGAGAGAATAAATTCAAAATCCAGGCAAATTATTTTTAAATAAATAAATAAATAAAGTCATCAATGCACTATCACTACTCTGGTTTTTAGCAGGTGTCAACCAGTACAATCTTTTGATTATATCAAGGACATGAATCAAATCTCATCTCACCAGCAATGAACAGGTTAAAAGTTGATAAACAAAAAGAAGTGGAAACCAGAACTTACTGGGAAATTTGTTGTTGTAGTTGTTCCCCAGTATTTTAGTGCTGCTAAATCATAAGCTCTAGCTGCCTTTTCTTCTTTGTCATACCCACCTTTAAATTTTTTTTTTTTTAAAAAAAAATTATGAAATTAAGCATATAAGAACCTTAATTAGGATAAAGAAATACAGATTTTCATCGGATTTAAAAGCATAAGTTGTCTTGCTGCTAAATCATAAGCTCTAGCTGCCTTTTCTTCTTTGTCATACCCACCTTAAAATTTTTTTTTAAAAAAAAATTATGATAATAAGCATATAAGAACCTTAATTAGGATAAAGAAATACAGATTTTCATCGGATTTAAAAGCATAAGTTGTCTTGCTTTTTTTTTTTTCACTTACCCAAATATACTGCAGGAGATTGGAGAAATCCCAATTTGAACAATGTGATATACGAGAAATGAAATCAAGAGTCAGTGTCTAAAATAATATTCTGTTGGTTTATTAAAAAAAAAATAATAAAGTAAAAATGTGAAGAAATTTTTTTGTTTCAATATGTAGCCCAAACATACCTTGCCTGCCCTTTCGAGTTTGTCCTTCTCTTCTGCAACTATTATCCCATAGATGAGCTTCATATCTCCCAGTCCATCTATGTCTGCAAAAAAATCAAAAACCCTAATTTCATTATCACACATTTTCCTCTCTTCGAAATACCTTAAAGATTCGAACTTAAAAATTCTTGTTTCAAACTTGCAAACAAATAATAGAGAAGGATTTAAAAAGAAAGAGAGAGAGACTCTAGTCTCATATATAGCACAAAATTAGATGTATATTAAAAAAACTATTAATCTCATATATAGCACAAAATTAGATGTATATTTAAAAAACTATCATTCTTGTAAAGGAAAAAAAGAAAAGAAAAAAAAAGGATATATAGTTGATATTTCTGCAAAAAAAAATGTAAATATATAAAAACCTTGTTACACCACGATATATAGAAGTTCTCTGGCCAAAAGTATCAATAGATTTCCTTGGCACCGCTTCAATGGCAGCGGTCTGGCTGTCGAGGCAGGTGGTTGTCGTCTTCTGCTGCTTATTGGTATCGGAAGATGAACTATCTCCACCGCTGGCGCCTCCGTTACTGACGGTGAGAAGCTGTGAAGATCCGGTGCTCATAGAAAGAGACAACGTCTGTGCACCGCCGTTGTTCTTGGCACTCTCCGGCTGAGTGGTGGATGGCGGGGCCGGTTGGTTCCTCAGCCAGGTTTTGATCATGGACAAACCAATGGAGCTATTGCTGCCACCACCGTTGATGCTGGTGATACTACCATCGTCCCCTCCTCCACCACCGTTGGGGAAAATATACTCTCCTGCGCCGGTAGCTGCCACTGTAGGGCCGCCTAGGAAGTTCTCAAGCTTTGGTTCTTGGTTTTGGGTATTGCATGAACTACCCATCAACATGGAAAGGTCTGCCGTTCCCTTGTAGTTTGCATCCAAACCCTTCATATTCCAATCTGCACCAAAATAGAAATAATAATAATAATAATTAGGAGAAGAAGAAGCTATTTCTGTCCTTTTCTTTTTCATGTTCTAACAAAAAAGAGAAATGAAAGGGTTTTAGGGTTTCTCAAAACTAAAGTGTGAGAGAGTTTGAGTGGTTGAGAAAACGAACCTTGGGATTGATTGTTTCTATTGAAGGCTTCAAGTATGCCAAAAGGATGAGGAAGGTTGAGGGAAGGGGCTGATGGGTCCGAGGTAAGATCGAAACACTCGCTAGAGACATTGGTACCGGAGATTTCATCGGAGTTGAAGCCGAGGCGGGAGACATTGGTTTGGGAGTGATCTTGTTGATTATCACCTTGTGAAGGGAGTTGTTGAGGGGAGAGAGAAAATCCTAACCAGTTGTTCATGGAAGCCATTTAATGCTTAACTTCACTTGAAGTTAAGAAGAGGGATCGAGATGGAGGGATTACCGGATTAGTTCATGCATGAGAAGAGAAGTAGTAGAGAGGAAAAAGAGAGATAGAGAAACCTTTGAGTAGAAAGGGATGGGGAATGAAGGAGAGGAAAGGTCCAAGGAAAAAATGAAAGAGAGAAAAAAAGTCATCTCTTCCAAAGCAAAATGGAGAATTTATAAAAATTCCTGATTTTCTCTCTCATGAATCATAAATGGGGCACCTTTCTAATTCAAGGGGCAGTCTTTGGATTCTTTGTAAGTTCAACAAATTACACTATGCAATGTGAATTGTGAACCAAGATTATCAACTGGTAAGGGGTAAAATGGTAATTTTACATTATTCTGAAAACAATGAGGGTGCCCTAATCACTAAAAGAAGAAGAGGGTTTTGAATTGAGATCATAACTTAGTCATTCTTTCTTCACTTATAACGCTTATAACACCAATTTTCTCATTCTTTCTTCACTTATAACACCAATTGTCCTCCCTTCTTCCCCCTCTCTCTAAATCTAAGGAAGGGAAAAAGAATAATCAAAGGGTACACGAGGAGTGATGAAAACTTTTGAATGAATGCACCTCTTTGTACTTATCTAGAGGCATAGTTTAATGGGTTTTTTTCTTCTTTTCTTTTTATCTAGTTTGACAGTCCAAAATTGGGCAAGTTGAGCTTATCTTCTTGCCCTTTTGATAATAAAAGTATTTTTGTAAAGCTATAAGGCCTAACACATGAGTCATAACCTCCTAAGAGAGCATGTGGTTTCTTAAACTTAAAACAAACTTGTATTCTTCCTTCGGAGTTCAAAGATATCCTTGATTCCACCGGCCCTTTAAATATGTCTTTCCCATTGTTTATTGTAATATAGTAACCAATTTTACTCTACTCTAGAGTCCAACACTCATATATATACAGAATATATTTACACGAATACGTACATAATGCAGGCTTACACAACATATATATCCTACAAATTAAAAAAAGACTATATTTCTCTTCTTCTTTTTTTCAACCTAAAGTTTGGAAATTTTGAATTATTTGACATGCCGACATCTAGTATTTTTATTGACTAATGTTTTTTTAATTTAATTTATACAATGAAAAGTAATTATTTTTCATTTCTTAATTCATATTATTATGTGATTTGAAACCCAAGATTTATCTTTTATTTTACTTAAATGAAAATTTATTATTGAACCATTTAAGTTTGATGCTTACAAGTAATTCATTTGAAATGTTTTTTTGTTGTTCTTTTATTTTAATAACATAATAATCTCTTATTAATAAAAATATAAAATTTTAATTAAATTTAAGTTTTACAACATAAAATAAAGTAAATAAAGGAACAGAAAAATTGTTATCTTTCATACGCGACTTAACTTTAATAAAAAAAACAAAGAAAATATGTTACGTACGTAGCCGTAATTACTAATCAATTAACTAATGGTAGTATGTATATATATGTATATATATATATATATACCATAAAATATCTGTAGTATTATATTGGAAATTAATTAAAGCTTTCCTCTTATTGCTGTGAAACAGTAGACGAGAAGATGATGATGTATGTATTTCTGACACAGAGTGACACAAAACCCACACGTAGCCCCTCTCCACACCCATTTATTGATGCCCAGTTGGACACAAGTCAGTGTAATCAGCTGCTCCCCAACCCCTTTTCATTGCCTCTTTCTCTCTTCATGAATCAATATTTTAATAAACCCCCATAACTTTCTCACATTCCATCCATATCCTTTCCATTTTCTTTACTATTATCCCCTAGTCCTAATCATCAATCTGCTCCCCCCCGCTACAAACGGGAGTTTCTTTCTCTTTCTTCCGTCCCTACACACATAACAATAATTCATGCATGTCTGACAAATTTCCTTTTTCTTTCTCTTGGGGGAAATTAATATTAGATTTAATCCTTAATCTTTTCGGTCATTTGTAAAGTCATCCTCAACCTTTGAAATTCAGAAATTGGCTCCCTATGCTCACTTAAAAGTTTGAAATTAATTAGTTTATCCATTAATTTGTTTCGTAAGACTAGAAAAAAAGCTTATGAGTCAGTGTCTCAACACCAAAATTTGTAAAGTTTGGAAAGAAATTATAAAAACAAAATTGTACTTTACATATTACAAAATGAATACTGAAAAAAAAAAAAGAAACAAAAAATAAGAAAGAAAAAGAGAGAAGCAGAAGCCTGAAGGGATGGATATTTTCTAGCTCTAGAGAGATAAGGTGGCATCCATGTGGATTCTCGAGATATGTAAATTTATAAAATTAACGAAATTGATATTAAATTTATATACATATTGTTGCCTACTATTGGTTATATATTAAGTTCGTGAGGACATGGCTAATAATTTTGAGGTCAAGGATTGTGGCTTGAAGAGAATTATTTGTAATTGTATGCTTTGGTGTACCACTTGCATTCCATTAATATATTCATTTTAATTGATAGAAAGGGGGAATTGCCGTACATGGTAAAACGATGTACCATAGAATTTAAAAAGTTAAGACTAAGTTGTTGAGTTTCTTTTTTTTCTTTTAACCATTAAATTTTTAGATTTTATATATGACAAAATAGTGGGATATTAATAAATAAAATTTAAATCTATAGAGTATTAATTGTTAAAAAATTAGAGTTAATACAAAGTTGTCAACAATGATCAATTACCAAAAGTCCTTGGATATTAGAAAAATTGGACGGCAGGTTATACCATCCCTAGATGTACATGTGAAAAGTTGTACTATAGAATTTTAAAAGTTAAGACTAAGTTGCTGGGTATTAAAAGTTGAGGACAACTTTACAAGTTATCTTGAAGGTGAAGGATTAAGAGTAATATGTACCCTATTTAAAAAATATTACTACGATGGAAAAGAGCAGAGAATCTTATATGGTTATGAACCTTTATATAATTATTATGATCACATTATTTTTTAATATTATTTTTAAAAATATTGATTTTAGTTAATTTGTTTATTAAAAATAATTGATGATGATATTTATAATGTTTAGTTAATAATTAAAAATAACAATATTTATTAATTAATAAATTAAAATCAATTTACAAAATGATCTTTCTAAATACTGTTACTTACTATATAAGGAAACACATAACTAAATTTGTATAGAATAACATTTTTATATGTCACAATAACGATACCCAAGAATCTAAATTCACTTTTTTTTGTTTACAAGTTGAGAAAAAAAAATTGAAATACGTTATGATAGGGTTGGTTTTGCTATCTGCACCCCTATGGGAGGACCCTAACCCTTAGATTCCGGGTCTTTGGTTAGAATGAGATTTATATTTCATGCATTCTCAATTTATATTTTGTGAAGTTTAGATTGGAACAAAACTATTTTCTATGGATCCAAATGGAAATTATCAGATACTTCTCGCCCCTCTCAATACAATTGCTCTTTCACTTTGTCATATCTGTGCTTTGCAATATGTTTTGGCAGTTCTGTTTAATTAATTTCTGCTATGCTGAACTACCATATAAACATCAGCATATCTCAGTTTTAACCTTTTTGGTTTTATTATTTTTCACAACCTTCACATATATTTTAATGTTTTTGGCTTACATCGACATGATATGGTTACATTCTCATATCCACCGTATAAAAATTAGAGAGATACCAACCATAATGAATAATTTTGAAATATACATATTACACAGTATAAAAAATTAATTTCTTATAAATTTTTTTTTAATTCTAATGATCTAAAAATATAGTTATTCCATTAAATCAAATATGCCAATGAGAAAACATCACCAACTTGTAGAGACAATATGATATACAAAAATTAACTCAAAATACCATGCATGAGACCAAAATACATATAAATACTTTATATTTTACTTATAAATTTTTTAATTCTGACATAAATAATTTATTTTTAACTAATATAAAATAAATTTAATAGAGCGCTCAAAAAGTTGATTTATGGTATTACATGACTGTTATAAAAAAAAAAAAGAATGATAATTAAATTCTTGGTAGAATGACAGATTATATCTGAAGTTACTGATGAAAAACAATGTACAAGAATTCTAATTAAATATGTAATTGAATCAATGTGACACAGGTAGAATGGAGACAAAAGAATAGTTTAAAGTTGAAAGGGTCTCGAAGGGTGCAAAACCACAGTGCAAGTTTGACCGTAAGGGGAAGGAAGAAAGAAAGGAATCAAAATTAGGACGGTAAACACATGGCCCCTAAAGTCCTTTTTATTATATTTAAAAGCCTGTTCCTGTACAGTAAAAATAAATGCTGCCTCTCGGTAATCTCATCCCATAATCATGCCCAAAACCCACCACCACCTAGCTTCCCTTCTTAGACCAAGAAATTAGTATATAATATGGGTGTATATATTAGGACTTTTGACCTAGCTAGGACGTATGAATCGTCTTTATGGTTACTTGGTAATTGGCCAATTTCACTGTCCAACCATTTTTAACCATTTACCATTATAATATGTTGAATGCTAATAATAGAACCATGTACTCATGATTTTACACTATTTGCTTAATTTACTTTTTTTTAGATGATCAAATATTAAATTGATCTCCACTAACCTTCATTCATTTTGAATTCTCTTTTTTTTTTATATATATAATCTAAAGGATATATCCCTCACATTAATTTAATGTATTTATATAACAAAACGATGTAAAAATTTCTAATTTGTTGGTGCTAGTTCACTAACAAATCCCTTTCCTATGTTTATGGGTTGAGTACCCCTTGTACTCTTTTAATAAAATTATTTCCTTTGGCTTTTCAAAAAAAAAAAAAGAAGTTAATTTCCTTGCACGCATATGTTAGCTTCAAAAATGACTTTTACTTAATTAATAATGCATCTAACCCTTGAGGTTGTTATTTTTCTTTATACATATATAAAAAATGTTTCATAATTGGGAGAGAGGGTTTAAACCCATTGATCTAATCATACAGATTGAGAGACATGTGCCTCCATTATGCGTTAGGTCTTTAGTTTGTACTAGCTAGTGAATGCATTTATTTTTACTGCATCAGAGGTAGAAACCTTGACTTGAGATATTTTTATAATGTAACAAAGAA